GTGGCAACATTTGTCCTGAGCGTAGAAGCTGAAGTGGTTCATTGCTGGGCTGGTGAAGATCTTCTCTAATCTCCCCCATCTTACTCTTTCCTGCAAACAGACGAAGAAAAATCATCAGGGTTTTTTTTCTGGGCTAGATTTTTCCCCGGTGTTTACCTCCTTTAAAACCTTCCTCAGTGGAGGGACAACCACACCAGCAGACGAGCTCATGCTATCAGCGTTAGTATCAAAGTGTGCATGCAATGAGTCACTGTGGGGGTGGTAAACAGACCAGTGTTGCTACAGTAAATCTCCCCAGGAGCCCTTTTCTGGCCCTCCATCCCCTCCTTCAGACACTCTGACTGTTGAGGCCTAAACACTCATCTTTACTTTCAATTAATGCTCACCCTTTGATACCTCAGGCCTTGTACCTGTTACATCTATCCTTACAGTGATCCTCAGTCTCAATGAATCTATTAACTTTAATTTCTGCACTATCAAATTCAATTTGTATTTAAGTTATTTTTTTAACGGTAAGTTGTATTGAAGGAAATACTAGCACCTGACAAAAAATAGGAATTACAGTTAACACGCTAACAAAAGTTACCTTAACGATCAGCCTAATAAAACATGTGGTCATTTTCACAGGCATACAGTTCCTATTCTCTGTGGAAATAACTACTACTACCACTAATAATAATAAAATAACTAATAGGTGCTGACGTCAATCTGCTATACTGAACAGCTACAGCAGCCCCAAAGGGTCAAAACTCAAAATTCCCGGTGGGCTTAAAAATACAGCCACCACTGGGTAGAATCATTGCATGCTAGGAGAGCATATCATGGCTACATGGCAATCATATCAACTTTGGAAATAAGCATATCGTCCCAGCCCTATTATTATCTTTATCAGAAGTTTAGGACTTTTTCTTTTTTCTCATCAGCAGAATAAACATGGACTATAAGTAAAGGCTGCATTTTCTGGAACCTTCTTTGGTCTCAACTGAATTGTGTTCATCATATCATCTCATCAGTTGATTCTTTTTCACTA